GTACATATGTGTATTGTTTGTGTGTGTATGTGCGTACATGTGCGTGCGCGTGCGTATGTGTGTGTTTGTGTGTTAATATTCACACCAAGTCTCTCAATAGTAATTGCCAATTTTAAATAACATTAGTACCTATATCAGTGATATTGAAATGATTAACAAAATATGCGTTAGTGAATGTAAACAAACAATATTTCGGACATCTTACACACAACGCTAACGACGCGTTCTATGAAAGCTAGATTGACTGATAGAATTCCTACTTATATACTTTTTTATTTTAAATACATACATATTATACATAGAAACACTCAGACTAAATCAAACATTAAATGTTTATGCACACAAATGTTTGACTTAAGCGAGAATCGAACCCGCGACCTTTGGAACAGCAGTCCGTTACACAAACCACTGCGCCACCCGGTCGTCTAAATGTTAAGTTAGATATAGTTAAGTGCCTTGTAAACATGTAACATGAGAAGGCCTATAACAATTTATTCCTTGCGTATTTCTTTTATTTGTTTACGAATAAATTAGGATTACTTCGCCGCTGTTTGACGCTCTATTTATGCTTCTATTGCGATAAAATCCTACTCCCTTTTATAAATGGATTATTTATTAAGGGTATTAAATTAACTGAACTCTTGTTTTATTAGTTATTTGAAATTTATTCCAACACTTTTCACTCGGGTTTCACGTAGGCCACAATAAGTCAGTTTTACCAAAGTCCTAGAACGTTGTTACAATAGACTTCTGGTATAGTTGAATATGTGTAAACGTGAATGCTATGTACTCGTTTATTAAAAACTATAGATTGAAAATAATTTGTACACCACAAGAGGTCTAAATAAAAAAAACACTACCTTCTCAGCATCAAGTGGGGTTTCTAACACGCTTGTTAGCCACAACTGTAAGTGACATGTAATCTTGAAAGTTACCTGCACCTACTTCTAATTACCGTCCTAAAATTAATCTTTGTAAGGAGGTACTTGTAGTTTAGATGACATCGCTATAATTTGTCATCTTGGAGCTGATCTCCTGATGATGATGATGAATGACTGAATGATGAGATGATACTAAAGAGTAAAACAAAAGAATCTGGACTCATAGTTCGTATAGATGAATCCATCAAATTGGAGGTATTACCGACAGTCTGATGATTAAGACAGAAAGGTGCCAAATAAAAGGCTTCTTAAATCGAGTCATTTTACTAAACTGTAACTAGTATTTTATTTTAACCTACTATCGTAGTTTTACATTTTAAAGGTAATTAAAAAGATTCGCATATTTCAAGTAAGTATTCTAGTGAACTTAGATGACAGTCGGACATCTTACATGTGTCAGGAGTGGCTTCAAGTCGATAGTTCAATATGTTGATTGCAAAATTTAATAACCTAAGGCATTTAGATTTTCCAATTCACAACAAATGTTGCGGTATTTCAATCCGAAGGCCAACTAGTTGCTATCGGGGGAGTTGCTCTATGTCCTTAATCAAATTAATTTTGTTGTTATGTACCTAACAAGAAACTGTGCTAATATCTACTCTTATATATGCTACATTTACACAACAATACTTTACTTAATATTGTGATTCTAATAAGTATATTGCGAATGTGGGACTGTACAGATGGGCACAAAACTTTAAATGTACCAACAAAATATTGGGACTGTTTATCTTGTCTCGACTAACTTTGCTTTCAGCTAATTGCCTTGTTACTAGTCAATGGTTACTTCGTTTCCACGGAAATCATTTATATACACAGAACTTCATACATATAGGAACCACATTTAGGTCACAGGAGTTTTAAGTTAAAATGTGAGTAGGAGAAACTGTTGACTAAAACTTAATTAGAAGGAATAAAAGAGCTGAAAAGAGAAAAATAAATTTAAATACTAAACTTGTCGGCCGATTCCCTGAATATTTCTAAGTTGACACCAAATATACAAACACCTCACTCAATAAATTCATAGATACACTGACGCCTGTATTCCCGAAGGAAATTCGAGATGATTAAATATACAACATTTTGTTAATTACAATTTGGTTTCACTCACATAATAAAGGGAAGCCTATTGGCTCAACGGCAGGGGAATTAAAAATATGAAAATTGGTATTTTGTGGAAAAGAAGGAATGGCAACCCAATAAGAACGATTTTGCTTAACCAATAAGTCGAGAAGGTGCGACCGTGACCTTGACCATACCTCAACTCGAACTAACCATCGCCGGAAATCCTAGTCCACTAACCTTAATAAATAGTTTGGATTACAATATTGTTCGATGATTCATTAAAAATCACATTTATATTTATTCTCAAGAACAACTACAAAAATATTTATTTTATCGTTAACTATCATTGCCATGACGTTATTTCTACGACTATTAGGGCTCTGTCCTTCTCCAAAGCAGTTTGCTGTAACTATAATAAAAGTACTTCCGTATTTGTAAACGCTTCTTAACTTATTTTAATTAAAATACCTTAAAAGTGACACAGATTCAATGGTACTCTTTTAATTTCGGTAATAAAATTATTATAATAGACTTCCGTACGTCATTCATATTTATTAACACTCATTTATTAACTAACTATATGTACTTTAAAGTAAACTTTAACTTACATCTAATTGTCATATCTAAATCACACATTACTACTATTTGGCACCTTAGAACTGGGCTTCAATTTGCTATTCTAATATTGTATCAATAGACTGTCGATAGAATGTCCCTGATGACATGAGTTTTGACCTTTTCGCATTCTACTAACTATATAAGACCAATGACTTGTCACTGAACGGCCACTGATACAAATGTCGTCGATATTTTTGTGATAGTTTAGTAAAAGGTACATTTTAAATTTGTATGAAAATGATCTATGCGTATTTAATTTTCCAGGTATGGTCATGTTGTTGATATCACCATTGATGACCTATCTTACTATATCGACAGTCTATTGACACTGTGAATTTATGTTAGTAGAATACTGATATTTCGACTGAAGTCGGTCCCTTCTCAATGGCATCTCAATAGCGTGTCAATGGAATGACAGGGTCTTGGCGTTAACATAAAAAAGTAGAATTGAGGCCCTGATCTTAAGAGTGAACGAATAGAAATTATACTTAATACAACTCCACAGTAAATCACTCGAGTTTAAAATATAATATTATTTGTATATTTGATATATTCGTTTTTACGAGTCCAATAGATGTCTTTTTTATGACACATGAGCAAAACGAGCAGGCGGGTCACCTAATTGTGATTGACTTGACAAAATAGATTGTTGCTAGCTACCATCTGTTTTGTCATAGTTGATCTATTTTTTATTTTATTTTTTTTATTTATTTCATAGTTGTTGATCTATGACTTTAGTCATTACGTAAGACGATTTAAACAATTTTAAAATAATTTTATGAAATTAAAAATGAGAGGCTCGTGGCTAGTGATACCTGAGTAGGTTAACACATTGCAAAGTTAAGCAATCCTAGCCAGGTCACTTTATGGATGGGTGACCATTATTAACACATCCAGACGCCTCCGTGCCGCGGACAGCACGCTAGGCCGTCGGTCCCGGTTGCTATACGAACATCCCTAGAAAGTCCGACAGTAGTCTTTCTACAGAACTTCGATATCGTCTAGTACTTGGATTGAGAAGGTCTGATGGCAGTAGCTCCGCGTAAAAAAATTCAAGAAGAAAACCCGCGTAAGAAAAACCCTATAAAAGTTTTTGCAAATTCCAGGCGAACGAAGTCGCAGGCACCAGCTAGTCCCGAATATAATAATTACTATACACGAAATAGCTCACAAAGAAATAACAAGCAGTGTGAACATACAAATGTTCAAAACATAACTTTTTTTTCTTTTAAGGAGGAGTTAAAGAGTTAAGGAGTTGTGTCTTTTAAAGATATACACGCAATTGTTTGCGTGTGTATCTTTAAAAGACAAAGCTCCATGAAAGCGTTATGTTTTGAACTCCAAACACCTGCTATCAAACTGAAAAGTGATTAAAATCTCTTCCTCCTGCACCCAGAAACCACCAGCCTACAGTCATAATATTGTGACACTGAGTTACATTTGAGTCTCCCTAAAGTCATTTGAATGTAAATCATCTAGCATTTATTGCAGATATAATTTATATGTAAACCGCGTCGCCCACCGACGCTCGCGACGACATCGTAACCTCACAGACAGACTCATTTATATTCATTTGTAATGTTTACAATCTCACTGACGAGGTATGTTTTAGTTCAATCTTGATGTTCTAACTATCAAAGTTTAGGTTAATTAATAACCTATAAAAGAAACGCTAAAATCCTACTTTCTATAAATTTCATACCTACAGTAAATATTGCCTTCTTCCCTTGCTTTTATTAGGTAAGTGGTAAAGAATATAAACTCTCTAAGGACCTAAATAAAGGGCCCTTAAAGGGATATGGGGGGTTTTACTTTCGCTAGCGTTATAGAATGACAGGATTATTGTTCTTAAATGAAACTTTTTAACAACGATAAAAAGTAAACTTTTTGTTCGTACAACGATACAATGTGTTTTTAAATAAATGCGCCATATACAGAGCTAATTCAAGATTTTCATTTTTACGAGTTTATGCCACTCATTTGTCATAATATCTTATTATTAAGTACTCAATAAAAGAACCTGCTGTACTTGACTGTTTAAATAAATATTTAAATAAAAATTTGCTGCCAAGTTGTTGCAAGGTCTAACCCAACAATATCTTGTACATTAAAAATATGTGGCCTATGCCTGCCTCTGATCTTTTTAATAACAAAATTATGTACAATAGATACCCGTTTTCCAGTGAACAGGACCTTCAGAGATAAGTTCTAACCTAACATTTTCTTTTATCTCGCATTCGACAAAAGTAATCAAGTGAGAGTATTTTATTACTGTTCCTATTACCGAACAAAAAGAGTCGGTGCCCACACAGTGTCTTTATTTCCAGCTTACATCCCTACGCATCATAGAATTCAATCCGAAAAAGATATGCTAGCATGTCATTTGCAGATGTCGGGCCGACGCCGACGGCCCGCCGGCCCGACATGTAGTTAAGTAAGCCTGACCGAGTGAGTGAGTGAGCTCATAATGTCTCATCGGGTTTTTATGTCGCCCCGGGGCCCAAGCGTCGCTCGTGTTGTGCTCGCCGGGAACATGATATATTGACCTTTCTTTTATGCATTTACATAATAATATGATAGATACCATTTGTAACATGTAGCTCGTGGTGACGTCACAGCTTGTAAGAGTAACACAATGTTTATATTGTAGATACAGTCTGTGGACATCGTTCAGAGTTGTAAAGCATATAAGGGATGAATGTCGAAAACTACGAAAAATTATGTTAAAAGTATCCTTTTTCACGGCTTTTCACGGCAAAAATTATTTTTCATTTCTTTAAGAATAGTTCGCTTACTATGGATAAAAGTATATATCCCTGGGAAGGTGAAACGTAATAAACGAACGAAATCACTTTGGCTTTTTCAATTTGACTTAGGATTTGTGATTGTTATAGAGAGATACATGACATACATGTGATTAAACTACAGAGACTAAATACTGAGAATAATAAGAAACAGTTTTTTAGTCGAAACCCATAATTTGCAGACTAATTGAACTCTTTTTCAACTTTTACACAATACGTTTTGACCACACTTTTTCTAACAACCAGTATGTACGTATTTCTTAAGAAATATTTCTTTCTCTACCAGCCGGAAAGCAAGAAATTAAACTTTAATGCCTACAATTTAAGAGCGATAATTTAATCAATAGCGTTTTCTAACTGACTGAGACAAACTACTAAACAGAAGTAACCTTGGAGCTTGCCGAGTATGAGCTGTCATGGCAGGAAGAGTCGGCAGCTTCCGGCGACCTTGTGCCATTTCCATAAGCACTTTAGAGGCACTCCGCTGTGACGGAGCCCTGCAGCCTGCCTCATACGTCACGCACCGACGAGCCAGTTTTATGGCCGTTTACATAACTTACTTAATTAATGCCGTTAACTTATATAAGTTTCCGTATTTTTCTAGCGCATTTAAATGTAGTTATAATGTCACTTATGGTTCACCTAAGTCGCGTACGACCTCCGTCAGTAATAGATGTAATGTGTTGACTTATATACACGAATGCTCCGGTACTCTTCACACGAATACAGAGTTAATACTTGAATAAATTAAAATTTAACTAAGTTGTAACTATGTACGTACAACGCTCTTAAAATTGTTTGTAATATAATAAATTAATAAAAAATATGAGGTATTTCCGACGGTAATTACTGAAAATATATTGTGTAGACCATCAGGACCATGTGTAGACCAAAGAGAATCGAACCAAACAAAGAGTAAAACGGAAATAGTACGATACTCGGAGGTGGAAGAAAGATTGTTTTTTTCGAGTAGGGTTTATTGTTGTTTCTCGAAAATACAAAACAGATTATGACATACAATAGGTAATCTTTTATTAAGAATTGGTTATACGGCTTATGCAAACACTACCAACAACATTAAAAGTTATCGACATTATATACTTCTTAACGTCACAAGTTAGTAAGTTACAAGTAAAGCTGTGTAAGTTCCAAGTCAAAGATTAGTTTACATAGTTTGTTAGCTAGTTACGAGGGAAGCATGAGAATTAAAAGTGCTTGTTATCTCTCAACAGTTTAAGAAATTGCAAACAAAACCAAACGTATAACGTTGCTTGCTTGAAAACGAGTTTACGAGGTCGGACCTCGACCTACGAGGACGCTAAAGCACTTGGATAACAGGCACTTCACCACTGAGCGCTTTTCAAGAAACTTTTTGCTGCTCAACTTTCTTCATCTTTAAGAAAAGAACGCACTGCTATCCCTAAAGTTTAGCAACGCACTTATGACTCTAAATCGCAGGTGTCCATCGGCGTTAGTTGGCACTTAGAGTAATCTTGGTAGTGGTGGTCAGTAGAATGTGGATCTGCCCCCTATATCATAAAAAACGGTACCAATATTTTATAGGTTGATCAGACGTCTACCTCTTTATGAAATAGCTGAAGGATCGGCACTACGATTTAAATTTACCATGTTTGTACAGATCAGTGGAGGACAATTTCATCTCGGAGCTAGAGGCCGGTGCGCTTTGGGGCGTGCGGTCGCTCCGCGCTCTTCGTCTGGCGCGCAACCTGCTACAGGAGGTTCCCACGCATGCTCTCGCACCTCTACACCATCTGCAGACATTGTGAGTACTGTACCTATTATGTCCGCGTACTGTGTATTCAGTAGTTTGACTGTTAACTAATATGTGCTGTAAACTACCTATGTCATTTCATTATTGAGATATCAGTCCTGAAACACGGTCAATGCAAGACGTTGGTAAAAAGGCGTTTTAATTTCAAAAATAGTATGTCACACAGTCTCTAAGTAGGGTTACATTTAAACTTAATAAAACGATATCGAAACCATATTTTTGATCACACTTATCGATTAGGTTTCTTTGGTTCTCGGCTCTCAGATGCGCACTCTGAACTACATTATTCTAAAGTCCCCACAAATTTCTAAATAGTTTTAAACAGAAACTGGTCAAAGTGAATAGTCTCAATAACACATGTTTGTAATGTAACAGATATTTCATTACAATATAGAATTGTCAAACACTCGCCAACACTATCACTAACATATGTATTTTAGACGTATTCGCTGTGGAGAGCGGATGCGCGCTGTTAAACCGTCACCACGTTGTTTACGGTCGATTATGTACCATAATTAAGATGCCTACTACAAATAGACGGTAACATAATAACTTCTGGCACTTCGTCTGTCAATGTCCTCACTATATTAGAATATTTAACTAATTTTTGCTATTCCAGCGTTGAACACTTTCAAATTAAATGGCCTATGAATGTCAGAGTGACATCTAATTAATGCTGACCTAAATATGTATGTGATATTATGAGATAGAAGTTATGGCACATTTAGAAACGAGTTTAAAGTAAATCTCTAAAAGTGGATTCTTGGGAGTTTGCTGGCGTGTGACGTCACACGCCGCGTCCTGCTCCACTTACTGTTTGAAATACGTCGCCTTGTCTCATTTCGTGCCACTAACAGATGTGTAGTGTTAAAGATTTAATCTTTGCTACTAGATACATTGAAGAGTTAGTTTTCAAACGTCTTAATTCATTCACTTTAAACAAGATAACTACATGACATCGTGCGTAAATATCGGGCATTAAGAGTCCTCGTCCCTCTCATTAAGTAAACGCTTAACAGCAGTGGCTAGGGTCGGTGGTCTTTATGTGGGATCAAAGATTGCAATACTCGCTACACTAAAGGGTCTTTTGGCCTTTTACATGATGATAATGACTATATACACCCTTTCGATGCCATAAATTGTTCTGACGTCCTTATTTTATAAGCTTATGTGTGTAGTGGCCCCTTTACATACAAGACATATTAAGGAGACGTGTCTCTTCGAGTAACAGTATACTCAGTCCCGTTTTCTCGATCGTTTTTCTGCCTTTGTGGAGTAGGGGCAGCAGACGGGTACTTTATGGTAAGTGACTACCGCTGCCCTAACTTAAGACTAATCCCTCCCACACGCCCCCCACTGGAACTCCTGTACACCAGGATCAACAGCAGTGACCCTCGAATAGACCAAGTTATAACACTCGGACTTTCCCAGGAAAAATATAAATGTCTTGGAACTCGCAACGAAATTAATCAGAAGAAAATTGGAGGAGTTGAAAATATAATAAATCCACTTCCCTCCAAAGCGGGAGACAAAATGAAGTAAAATAGGCATACACCCTTTTAAACAGGGATGCACCACGGACACAAAATGTTATGGGTCCCAAGTGGGCGAGAGTGAGTGAGATATTTGATTTTTATAATAAGAATCGCCTAAACGCATTTGTAACTCAAGAGTCACATGTGCGTTGTCACTCTCTGAGCGCCATTCCGGCTAACCAGCATTAAGGATAGGAGTGGGTTACTGCTCTATTTACCTCACCCACTTGGTCAACGCAACGAAGGAATTGCTGTACATCGCATAGATTTGCTGTGAGACCGTGAGATCACTTCAGCCCAGCTGTCCCATGGCAAAACGTGACGCTCCAACGGCTACCTTTCTTACCTCAATTTAGCTTCTTCCTTAGTCCCGCCGTTTGAAAACATATGCATTCCGAGACTTACGTGTCCATACCCTTCTGTCGGTAATAATGGGACCTCGGATATAAACATATGCAATTCTTGAAGTCCATACCTAACGCCATGTTATCTCATATTCTATTTATAGATATTAATTAACTACAACCTTCAATGTTTAAATTTTATGATATTTCTTCGATAAATATAAAATTGTAAACAGAGTAAAATTTCTTATGTTATCAAGGAAAATATCACGACTAAATAAAATATTTATGAATACTCGGAGAAGAAATATAATTAATAGTTCTCGTGAGGATTTATATATCTTTATATTCACCAGAAACCTTGACTTAATAATTAGTATTTTGCTTTGCTAATTGTTTCGTTTTAAGTTTAATCATTTTAAAGACGAGATAATTGAGATAAAATATTTTAAATCTATCTTTCTTTCTTTAAAATTCGTGACTAAAACCTCCGAGGGTCGGTTATGTTTAAACGTCTCGCGAGTAACGCTGCATTAAATCATACACAATTTCAAAATAACCCTAATAAATGAAAATGAAAAAATCATATTGTAAGTAATTTAATGTTAGGAAAGTATGATGCAATGATATATCGGGGAATGTAACCAATAGCTCGAGCAGGTCAGGGTCATCATCATCAACAACAACCTTTAGTAGTCAAAAACAGTGCTGGACATAGGTCAAGGTCGCTTGCCTGCAACTCGAATGCCTATTGTCGGTACATCTGTCGGGCCTCTAATCGAGTTGTAACACATGTTACACCCTTTCATTAGCTTGGTATGTATATATCTATGTATGTAAAGAAATCTTGACTTGACAATACAATAATTTGATAAATTTAGCCGATTATCCCGATTGGGATCTTCAGGATTAACGGCTTTTTCCATACCTAGAAATACTATAGTGTTTTTTGCTACGTACTAAGAGGCGTGTACTGAAGCATGTATGACGTACTTACTTGTTACTTTTTTAGTCTAAATGAGAAAATATTTATCATAAATGACTAAAAAAGCAAAACTAAATTGTACTTTAAAAAAACACGCTTTTGTAACTAGCCGAACTAAGTAAGGTAGAAAATAATTTTCTATAACTTCAAAAAGAAGAATCATTTTTTCGTAAAAATGCGTGGGGTGCTAGATCTCAATTGTTATAAAAATATTTTACTGAGAAATATTACTCGTAGTAAAAGTAAAGTTTATATTATGAAACTAGGTTCTGCTCGCTACTTTGGGCTAACGCTACGTTCGTTTACGAAGAAGGTGAAAATATTTTTAAATAATACGTACGTTAAGGAGCTATTTCCGTTAACGCAGCGAAAGCTCTCAAAAGGAAAAAAATCCCTCGATTTTGAAACAATTTTGGTTGGTTCTCTGCTCCTATTGGTCTTACCGTGATAATACAGCCTTCCTCGATACATTTATCGAGAATGGTCTATCTAACACTGAAAGAATTTTTCAAATTGGCTCAGTAGTTCCTGAGATTAGCGCTTTCAAGCAAACAAACAAACAAACTCTTCAGCTTTATGATATTAGCATAGATATCACCCCACGCTAAAACTCTTAACGAAAAATCAAAACCGGTCGGTGTTGCCTTACAATAGAACATACTCGTAGATGTGTTGAGAAAAGTAGAGACGCTTCGCTGGGAAGCAGAAGTTTCGCAGCCGCGACAATCGCTAAACATTAGAGAAAGTACCAAGCCAGGGGAATAAAATGTAAAATTTGTTGGACCGTTAAGGCCGTTGTGTTTAGTTCGTGACTAGAATGTAATCCAGATATTTGTGCGCACTGCCGTTACTTACACGACACTTTTATCTGTGCTGTTCACCAACTATTCAGAGAGTTTATTCCATTGGAGTGCAATTTTGTCTCTTACATGAATTTTCATTCACTCATTTATAAAGTTTGTAATAGATGTGTATTTTATGAATAAACATAAGACCTAGATAGTTAAACAATACGAGTTAACGAAAAACTTAAAAGTTAATTAAAATAAAAATAAAATAAGAACTCAAAATTACGCCCAAGATAGGACAACCTCGTGTGATAGAATTAATAACTTGCGGCACCTCAAACACGACCGTCTGATGTCTAAATAAATATGCAGAACCATGATTCGGTCTACAATGGTAACCAGACTGATCTTCGAGAAACATACTTACACATATCTAAATATATACATACTATAGATAGACTATACGCACATAGCACTAATTCTTCAAACAGGTTTTTGTCCTGAATTACATTAGAAACCTTGACCTCCTGGTCAGTAGTCAGAATCACACACACTTTTGTTAACAACTATCAATATTCAAATGCTTGTTTTGTTGTCAGGAACCTGGCAGGGAACCTAATAAGTGAGCTACGGGACACAGCACTGCCGCCGCTGCCCGCACTGCACACCCTGTGAGTATTATATTATAAAATAACATATTACATAGCTGCTATACACTAATTAATGACTATATAAATAGTGCAACTGTTGTTTTATATTAAGTATATGTTTTTAGCCGACTGCAAAGCATGAGAATTTGTGAATATTCAATGATCCTTTTTTGAAATATCTGTCTGTACTCAAGGTTTTAGGTAGACGTCAAGTTTTATTACAATGATCAGGATTTAGAGCGATGAGGTCAGTGGGCTTTTTAAACAATAAATTTTATGTTTCGTAATATACACACACCAAAATAAGCAACTTTTAAAAAGTACTACTTTGCAAACGTAGGGGCGCAAAAGGTTATTAACCCTTTGGATTTAAATCATCCCTTAATTAAAAACTTTGGTAAACTTTGAAACACTTCAAGTCCTAAATTTGTGAGCCCGATAATTAAAAAGATATTTTAAAAGCACTGACAGGAATGTTGCGAACAGGTCACACCAGTTGAAAAAATAAAATCTCAGCAGTGGCTTAGGTACTTGGGTACGATATTGATTAACGGGAGTCACATTTTCTTATGTATCTTCATAAAAATATATGTTTTGCTAGGATTACGATCACATCTTGAGTTCTTCCATACCTTTTTTGGGGGGTAACGAGCAGACTGGTCATTTGATGGTAAGTGACTACCGCTGCCCATGAACACCTGCAACTCACGAGTTCCAAATGCAGTTCCGGTCTTTGAGTGCCCTTCTCCCAGAATTATAGGGTTCTCCTCACTTAACCTCACTCACTATGCGAAATCCAACGAAAGAACAGCTTAACACTTTAACACCAGTTTCGTGTTATGCCGTACAATCATTCCTGTCATGCCAGAACTACGTTTTAATGATCTTCGACCTTAGTTGTAGCACTCTCCGGTTCTACTGCTGGACTAATACCATGGCTAATGTCTCTATTTGTACTCTTAGATAATTGAATGTTACATGATATTTGAGCATTTGTAAAACATTTATATTTTGTTCGTGCTTCCTAATAAACTTGTCGATATTTCCTATTCTTCTACATCAAGCTAATAATCGTTACAACTTTTAGGTCACCCACGGGCAGAACACGTCGTTCACTCAACAGTCTTATATTGTCGAGCAGAAAAATATAGCAGTGTAAAAAAACGGGATTGAAAAAGCATTAAAAACTAATAAGAATGTGTTAATTTTTGTTTTTACTTTAAAATATTACTACACTTATTGCTTTATTATCACTTGTAGATAATACGTTGGTTTTTGACAAAAATCTCTTCGGAAACGGTTCTATAACTACTTACGCTCTTTATGATCAACTTATTCAATTCGCTTTCACTCAACAAACCAACGAGATGATATAAAAGTTTAACTACAAATCACGTCTTTCTGTAGATATTGTACTATAATGTGATCTCATGATCAGATATCTTAGTCTAGATATGTAGTCACCAGCGTAGCAGTTTAGTTTTTTGCCGTGACCGGTTGTAAGAGCGTGCAAAGGTGAACTGGTTCCTGCGCGGCACGTACCTCCGCGCTCATTCACTGCCACAGAGTATGTTTAGCAAGTGCGTGCAACTCACCGCACGTGCTTTACCTCAGGTTCACAGTCAGTTGCTCTGCAATGTACACTTATGTAATCGTTCATATTTTGACTGTATCGGTTAAACTAATGATGCGGGTTTCAACCTTTGATAATCTAATAACACAATTACCTCCATATAAAAAAGACTAGGCATATGCCTTGAAAGGCAATATTGACTAAGCTCTGTACGAATCATCAGATTCAGCAAATAAAAAATAATTTTACGTACTTTTGTCGTACGTACGTTTTACTGTTTCTGAGTTTGGATGTCGGTGTATTTTTTCTCGTGCTTCAAAAGTCCTGGTAAATTTATGACAGTTTTTGTTATGACGGTACAGCATCACCCGGCCCTTTATCTCTTTCTTACGCTACAACAGCCGTCGATATAATATATGGGATAAGAAAAGGTAATTGAACTCAGTAAATTGCTTATGGTAAGCGGCGCTATTCACTTGCATTTCGCGTTAATATTCTAAGCATAAATCTGTCGGCGGCGCCGCGAGCACGTGCCAGAAACACTTACACGACGATACAATAACATCGCAATACCACCATGGTATAATTTACACATTAATGTACAATAAAAGGAAAACATATAATATCTATCAGATCCTCGTCCTTGTGCTCGTGAGCGGACATGCTATGAGCACCAAATTGCCAACAATTAAATACAGCCAACGGAGAAACTGTTTTTCTTTTGTATTTCAATTCTTTTAATTACAGTCAGCATTATAAGTCACTTTAGTACAGTGAACAGAAAAATAAAGTGAAAAGAATTTGACGCATTTTTGTTCTGTATTGTGATGTATTGAGACGGAGTGTCACCACACCTATTCATCCCGTGGGTATCGTAAGAGCTGACTAAGGCAGCAACTACGCAGAACAACAGTACTGCAAAGAGAAGTAAAACTTGAAACGAACACTGTACCAACCCGTCTGACCAGGGTGGTATAGTAGGCCAAAAATTCCTAGCTAAGGAGAGGCCTATGCCCAGCAGTGGATTACTGTTGATGATGATGATGATTTACTTCTGCCGCAGTATAGGTGCCAACCGGAGTAGCACCTCACCATGAATCTGTGGTTTTGTGTTGTATTTTTTAGTATAAATAGGGCAAAGGCAAAGTCCTTTTATTTTACCTTAAATTGCTGAGCTATGCGTTCCCCGCCTAAAGTTTGGAGAGTAGGCTAAGTAGCGGCTACGGTAACCTCATTCACTTGATAAAAAGCAAACAAAGAATTGTTTAACACCGGTTTTTTTGAAGTGGTATCCGACACATAATGTGTTGAAGAATGGCTCTCCCACGATTATACAAGCTTTTAGAAATATCCAACTTTTGAACATATCAGTCAAAAACCAGCAATCGAGAGTCTAACTCGAGACCTAACACAGAGAATACTGTAAGCTAACAAAATCGTTTATCATCTCGAATCTTGGTCCTCGAAAATTTGAAAACAAAAAGTGTAATGTTCCACAGCTTATATGCCTATGTATATATGTATCAGTTTCTTAATTTCACGGCTAGCTTTAAACCGTAGCTCGGCACGTTTCAAAGTTATTTTGTCTATCCCACGGGAAAATTACTTTATGATGTCCAATTTAAGTTTATGTAGGCAATCGCGGTTAGGTTTTCCCTTGGCCCTGGAGGTTTTCATATACCTGCGAAATGTTCAAATTGGTTAAAACCAAATTTTTTATTTTTATTGCTTTGACAACTTTTTTAAAAAATCCGCGGCTTGCAGAAATAAGTATTTTATATTATTATAGACAGACAGACAATTTTTTTCTTAAAAGCTTTTTTCTTTATTGAACTGAATCCTGGAAACCAAGCTTATAACATTTTTGTAACAATATAATCCTACTAAACTCATAACACATATGTAAGTTACTAAGTCACACACTCACACACACACACCTATGGTTTGCCACAGCTGGTATCAACGCCCAAGCGAGTCCCAGATGTGGTAAATCATGAGCCTTCACTGTTGGACCTTCTGCTGCCTCTGATCCGGACGGCTACAAAGTCACCGTCGAGGTAGGGCCTTGGCTCTTTTGATTTGCCTAATCCGGAGTACGGTGCCACTTATGTGCTCGCCGCGGCCGCGAATTGCAGGCTGCCGCCGTGTATGGCACTATAGATCAGCGGTCTGTAAAAGTAATACAATTTTGCCTCCAACCTTAATGCAAGGAAACTGTTGACCCAGTTACATAATTTCTCTGGAAGCCCATAGGACCCTTCCTATGGACTTCAACCGAACCCGAACCCGAACAGCTAAGTTTGAAAAAAACATCTATTGTTTATAAGTACAATATTATTTAATACTAGCTGGTACCCGCGGCTTCGTTCGCGTAGAATTTGAAAAGCGCTGTCTTAGTGGTGTAGTACGGTATGTGACGTGCATGAGGCCTCTAGTTTTATTCCCGGAGCGGACAAAATTTCATAGGGTTTCAGAGGGAAAATTTTTGAAAACTGCCTGGAACAGACAGACAGATGAAAAATATTTTAACTAGTTTTTAAGCATAGGTTACGTGCAAATAACCGTGTAAGCATGAAAAAACCCTATTATTTTGATATTACACACAGACACTTCAATTTTATTTATTTTTATAGATTTTATTAAGATTCATTGATGTTTGTTACGCAATACCGCTCGTATTTTTAATGACTAAATCAGCATCGTCATACCCATAATCAAATTGTTTATATAACAATAGGATAAATTTAATTATGTAATCCAAAACTCACAGCCTGTATATTTTGTTATTTAGTACAGACACACAAATACACCATTTTTATTATTAAAGTAATTGGATAGGCAGCCTGAAACCTTTTTAGTTTATGGCAAAGATTTTCTTGTTTTGTTGATGAGATACAATATTTCTCATCTGTAAGCAAATATCCCGCCATCACGCCACAAATAACACTCGGCACGATATTTGTGTCGCCTTGCTGTAATAACCCGTGTAATGTGTTATGTATGCTTTGTGGAGAGATGGCACTAGGTACCAACCTCCATCCGCATGATTACACCTCGTGTATTGTGTGTTTATGTCACAGATGACAAATATAGTCCCTTTATACCTACACATAACAAAAACAAATCTCTTTTGCACATATTTTATTGGTAATATCATAATACACAATGAGTTTCTGAGTTTAAACCTCGCGATGATAGCTTACGCGATGCGATGGTTGAATGTTGTCTATTTACAACTTAATTACATAATTATTATGTGCGTCTGGTGCATTCACAATTGGAACTGACAGGTTCTAACGATCCCATAACTTTTATGATAAGCATATTGAGACACATTTTCCATTTAAAACTCCGGACTCTTCCTCTTCCGGCTTGAGGTCTACTACGTATATATAATACGTACATAATTCATAATTAGAAAACTATCTCTCAAACACCTATCTTAGCGCGAATATAGACCCCTTCGGCCCCTCTTTTCAATTTTTTAGTGGCTTTCGAGCTACGATAACAAACTCTGACACTTGGTTTGCAATTACACTTCGACGAATCACAGCATTGAATCCATTAATTTCTTAATTCTCTTCTTACAATACTTTGGCAGTTCACTTTCAAAACGCTTCGTGTCTGTCCATCAGTTTCTGCAACTCACCGGCTGACGGTGCAAGTCGGACAAAAGGCACACGTAGCCTTCTATATTCACATTCACTGTCAGGTATAGTCATATCATTATTGTCTGACCCCGTTTGGTGTATCAAACCGAATAAGAAGTTGGTACCTATCTATCTTTCATTCCTTGTCTACTTATTACAAAGATCATACTTTTCTAGATCTACATAGACGCATTAAGTTCTAGGCCTCTGTCTGCCTGTTCTAGATTCTGTAAGATACGAAATCCCTGCGGGTATTGCTTTTCACTGGATGGATATCCTCTGTGTTATAAAATTAAAATAAATAACATAGTTTTATTTCAGGTCGTAACATAGTTTTATGTCGCAACTCAGTACCTACACATTCATTCATAATATAATGATGAATATTAAACATACTAAAACCTCCTTTCTAAGGAGAGGCTTATGTCCAGCAGTAGACTATTAAAGGCTGTTGATGAAACATACTAATAAATTAAATTACAGTACCATAACCATATTAAAATTAAACCATTCGTGACATTTCCATCCCCACAACACATACATAAAATAAACAGAATCAAAGATATTCATACCCCTGAGTCCGTACGGGTAAAGAAAAAGACAATATCATTTCTAAGTTTTCTAGTGAGCCTTTGGCTTCTGAATGTACAAATAGTATTACGAAAAGTAGCCTAGTAGTAGTTAACCACGCCTTTAATGCGATATTCACCATCAGTTACATAATTTAAAGAAAGTTTCTACACATAATAAAACCTAATTCAACTAAAAAAAACAACAAATAGACTATTTATACCGTTGACTGATGGCACTTGGTGGACCTTAAATTAAGTCACTTGTACTCTTCCACAATATTCACGGCACAGCATTCAAACCACGGCATTTTCAAAGGGTATTATAACAACTACGGAACATAGTAGTTGTCATGATA